GTATAGCTGAGCAAAACTCAACAAGAGTTGCCTGTGTGTGTGCATATATATATGCACACACACACACACACACACCTATAAAGCACCAAATAAGAACTAGTGTTTTTTATCTTTTGATTGTGGACAATAATGAGAAAGCTATGAGTAGAACATTGTCAGCTGTGGTTAGTACCATGAGCTCTTGCTGTAACGGGTGCAATAATGAGAAATACAAAGTCAGTTTTAGTAATTATTTGTGTTGGTAGCGTGAAAACACCTGTTGTACAATATAGATCAATTCAATAAAGAATAACAGTTGGATGACACAGTAGTATTAAAGAGGCAATCATTAGAACAAAGTGTTTTATGTCATGATGATGATAAGATTCCGTAATTATCCAGTGTAGAGAGTATAAAACCTGATGATAAGTAGGGTACAGTTCAAGACCCCAGTCCTCAAGGTGTTTTAGATGGTTAGCTGTGAATTCATGGTTCATTAGGTAATGCGATATTTAGGGTATTATAATATGTGATAATTCAGTGATTACATCATATCTACTTTAAGGTACTAATAAATCATCATGGCCAAAAAACAATTACAGTTAATTGTAATTATAATTAACTTACATATTATAAATTACATATTATTATCAGCCTTTAGTGTAACTTGTTACTGCATTTGAAAATGTAGTTCTACAAAATAGCAAAACAAACAAAAACTTTCTTACACTGTTGTAGGCTGTCTACATGAAGATAACTGATTTGGATTTTGAAGAGTATCACTATGGAATCTGAAGGATGATTGTGAATGTTTGTAACAAACATATAAACAGAGAAGATGTAATAGGCAAACCATAAGGACATATACTTGTACCCTAAGAAATCATACTTGATAATGTATGTGAACAACAGTTAATGCTGCATTACCAAAGAATTAAAGCTCAACCAAAGATATGATAGGATAAATGGAGAAAAGCAAAATAACGATGATTCGAAAAGGAAAAAAGAACCGTGTATTAAGAATAACAAAAAAGGTGCAACAACAAAGAGTATATTTCTTCTACCATAGCTACTTAATTATCACTTTCTAGAAGAACTGGAGAGCACAGTAGAACATGCTAATGTCAGTCTTTTCATGGGAAATCTTTATGTTTTAAATTGGAGGAAGACATTTTTTATCTTTAGCTACCTCATTCTAAAACTAGTGGCTGTAAATTGACAGTTAGTATGCAAAACAATGCTTACCTGATCCCTCCTCAGTCACCATTCCCAGTCCTTCAGCTTTGTTCTGCCTCTCAAATGCATTTAGATCCAGTACACTGAAACAAAGAAAAATGGATGGTGAACCTGTGAATGAAAAAAGCTATTGTTGATGCAGGGGCGCATAATGGCTGAGGTAATAATGAAGTAATGAGGGGCTATGTCAAACTTTGCCACAATTATGAACCTATCATTACCTAATGATTCAATATCTCCCAGGTGGTTCTCTAGTACTTAATCATTTAACATAGTCCAACATTAGGGGCTATTAGGTAAGTAATTGTAAAAAAACAAAACAACAACAAAAAAAAACAGATCATTTCTGGTTCTTTCCTTATTCGTTCCTTACTAGCTGTGCACCTTTCTGTATTGTAAAGTGTTACCATATGTTCAATTAACTGTTAGCAGTTTCTGTTTCTAGTGCATTGGCCAGTGAGGTGGTTACAGCTAAACGAGGCTGCCTCCCCAAAATGAAATCCCTACCCGAAGGATGAAACCCCTCCGACAGAGCACATTAAACCACAGCAGCATGGATCAGGATCCCAACAAAACAACTTACACTACCACTTGACTACTTTGATCCTGAAGAAAACTCAAGCATCAAACAAATCACATCAAAGACGATGATATCTTTGGGAACTCTGAACTAATGAATCTTAAAATATCGGTATAATGTCTCTATATTCAGATTTGACAGAGTGACAACTATGAAAAGGAGTTCAAGCGTTGACCCAACTGTGTAATGTGCGTTTTAAAATATCTTAATCACCTACATCATCTGTGCCACTGCCACTGCTGCTGCTCTAACTATTGACTGTGTCGGTGAATGGCAAAATCTGTAAACAAACTTCAATAACTAACTTCCTATTGGTTTTAGACCATCTGTCCTTTTCACCACACATAGCATCTTTGCCTCATGTCTCTCTTGTAAACCTTACTCACACCCGATCCTGAACACAGTAATGTATCAGTAATTATAATCCAATAATATAATGTACATTAATTTGAAATATGCCTTCTTTTATAATGGCTTTATAAGATTCAAGATTTTTATTCGCCAGTTATGCATAAACAGACAGTCTAGGCATATAGGAATTCTTGTGCAGGGCTCTCCTGGAGTCAAGTAAAGAGTTTAAAGCCAAAAGAACGAACACCTAGTGTAAATATAAGATCACCCACTAATACAAAAGAATACAAAATAGTTGATAAAACTGTGGACACAGGAATAAGGTAGCAGGTAAAATAGGGAGTTTCAAATATTGCACATGGTACTACACATAGTGTATATATGGTATTCTATTTAGTAGGGTAATGAGAGGTTATTGCACCAGTTTCTCACATTTTTTATTTGCCATCAGTCTTACAGCGGCAGGGAAAAAGCTGTTGTCAAGTCTGGTTCTGCGTGTGATGATACTGTCTGCTCTGCTGTGCCTGAGGCTGTAGGTGCAGTTTTTGTGTCTGAGCAGAGAGTGAGCTGGGTGGAGTGGATCTCTGAGTATGTTCTCTGCCCTTTTACAACAGTGCTATGTGTACAGTGTGTCCTTAGCAGGCAGTTCAGTCCCAGTGATTCTCTGCAGTCTTTATGACCCTTTGAAGCGCCTTCCTCTCTGCCTGTGTGGTGTTACCATACCAGACTGTGATGCCAGTAGTGAGGATGCTCTCTACCAGTCCTCTGTAAGCCTAGGTGAGAGGGCAACGGTTCAGCCCAGCTTTTCTGAGCCGCCTGATGAAGTATAGCCACTGCTGGGCTTTCTTCACTGTGGCAGCTGTGTTCAGTGACCAGCTCAGGTCAGATGTCACCTGCAGGCCCAGGAACTTGTGGCTGTCAGCCCTCTCCACCTTAGTCCCTTTGATGGTCAGAGGCAGCAGAGGGGAGGGGTTCTTCCTAAAGTCTACTCTTATTTGTTTTTGTCTTGTTTATGTTGAGGATGAGGTCATTCTCCTCTCCATAAATGAGAATGTTGCTCACCAAGCTTCTGTAACCCAACTCGTCTCCCCCCTTGATGAGGCCCAGAATGGTGTTGTCATCAACATATTTAATGATGATGGTGTTGTCATGGTTGGAGACACAGTCGTGGGTGTACAGGGTGAAGAGTTTGTGGCTGAGACAGCTGCCCTGTGGTGAGCTGATTGTGAGCTCAGCAGACACCCGCCCTCCCATTCTGACCACCTGTGGTCTTTCAGTCTGGAAGTCCAGAATCCAGTTACAGGTGGGAGTTGGGACATCGAGGTCTGTCATCTTCTCAATAACCTCGTCGGGTGTCCCTCCACTATAATTATAATGACTTTTTATTTTGACACTTTAACTATATTTTAATGCTATTACTTGGTACATAAGTAACATTTTGAATGCAGGACTTTTACTTGTGACTGTGGTAATCACCATTGTTACATAAGTAAAGAAATCTGAGTAATTCTTAGTGCTGTGTAAACAGCACAATCTAAAGATGTCCTCTAAATAATAATTTTCTTACTCTTGATAACTCTCTGGAGTATGTTCCTGTCTGATTCTGTGCAATTTACGTACCAAGCTGTAATACAGTATGTTATAACACTCTATTGCACAGTGATAAAAGACTTCGAGTAGTTTTACAGACAGGCTGGTCTTTTTGAGAGCTCTCAGAAAATAGAGGCACTATTGAGCTTTGTTAGTTATAGCCATAGAATTGAAAGTCCAGGTCCAGGCCCTCAGTAATGTAAGTCCCAAGGAACATAAAACTGCAGGCCCGCCCCACTTCCTCTCCTTTAATGAACAGGGGGGAGAGAGCTTCTCCTTCTTCCTGAAGTTGATTATTTTGTTTGTCTTCTTGATGTTCAGTGTGAGTGTTGTTATCTGTGCACCATTCCACTAATTTGCAGACTTCCTTTCTGTAGGGTATTTCATCACAGTCAGAGATCAGCCTCACCAAGGTCGTATCATCTACACACAGCCCTGAGGGTGAGCCAGTGCTGAGTGTCAGGCTGGGAGAAAGGTATGGATTGAATTTGACCTACTGTGGTTGACTGGCCAAAAAGTCTTTAATTAGCCAATGGCATGCTTTTCGTTGTTTTTTGACTTATCTACAATGTTACAATGGTTAATTATCACCTTAGACATGATCTAAAGCTCAAAAAATGAGGTGTACATACTGTATGTTTTAGTATATCTATGCAGAAGCAACTCGGTTTATACACGTCTTGCACTCTCACTTACCAGACTTTTTTTTTTTTAGCAGAATAAAGTATTACACGATAGTTTAAAGATTTCCTTGAATGGTCATAATCTCCAGGCCATTGTGTGTTTCTTTGAGTTTGCCTGACATCCACCGGTGCCCCCACCATATTGGCAAAATATTATTTTGCCTTGCTTGTTATGTGTATTTTCAATAAAGCTTATATATAAAAAAACAAAGACATCCACGGTGCTATTGTAAAAGCGGAATTTTTAAACTGCGCCCGATTTTGCGGATATATTTTACCTCTTGCTGCTGCACTGTGACCAAAGGGTGTGGAGAAAAATACAGGACCTGATGTTATTGCATGTCAAGGAACCCAGAAATGGTATGAATACATTAATTATATTTATTTCAGTCCTGAAAGAGGAAGAGTTTGTAGGGTTACCTGCATGACTGCATCAGACCACTCAGACTCTGAAAAAAGCCCACATCCCTCTTGTCTTTCAGATAATCCAGCATTTTCTGTCAGAGAAACAGAGGAAGACCAAAGAGAATGGGATTGGTGAGCTGTATTTTAGGGTGGCATGGTGGTCCAATAGTTAGCACTGTTGCTTCAGAGCAAGAAGGTTCCGGATTAGAAGGTTCTTGTGGTTGACTGGGTCCTTTCTGTGTGGAGTTTAAATGTTCTGTGTCTGTGTATGGGTTTTCTCAGGGTACTCCAGATTCCTCTCGCTCAACTCAATGTTACTGTCCCCGAGGAGAAATTTGTTGCACAGTCAGGTTAAAAAACACTTATATTTATGGTTTAAAAAAAAGTACCCTCTCCTTCAGTTCTATATTATTATTTATCAGGGCCTAAGAGCAATTATGTGGACCTTACCTACTTCCATAAAAAAAAAAAACTCACGCCAACAGAAAGACACAAAATATTTCAATATGCAGTTACCAAAAGTAAAACAGCATTTAGAAACCAGGTGGGAAAATAAAAGTAGCCTACACCCTTCCTACATCCACAATCATTAACTGAGTAATTGGCAGCCAGGTGTTACTCATCAAATGCACTGGATTAGTCGATCATTAAAAAGTGTGTCATCCTCTATAAAAGCACATATTTTAGCTGTTTGGTGTTCTGGAGCACTGAGTTGTGTATCATATCAAGAAAAAAGTGACATTAGCCATGATCTCAAACAAGTAATTGTCACTGTTCATTAATTTAGGAAGGGTTATTAGGCCACCTTCAAACAAGCTGAGATTCATTGTTCTACAAAGGGAAAGACTGATTATGAATGGAGAGCCTTCAAGATAGGTGCCAATCTTCCCAGAAACAAAACAGGATACACTAGAATAAAATATACTGTGCACTTGCAAAATTGTATCTGAACAACCTGGGGCAGTCCTGGAACAATATCCTTTGGACTGATGAGACCAAAGTGGAGCTGTCTGGTCATCATGCACAGAGCCATGTTTAGTGAAAACCAAACACCATGAACACCCCATACCAACTGTCAGGCCTGGTGGTGGATGATATGGCCCTGTTTTACAGCCACAGGACCTGGGAAAATTCCAGTCATTGAGGTGACAATGAACTCCACTTTATACCACAATATTCTTAAGACAAATGTGAGGCCATCTGTCCAGCAGCTTAAGCTGAGCCAAGATTGTCATGCAACAGGAGAATGATCCCAAGCACACCAGCAAATCAACATCTGAATGGCTAAACAAGAAAAAAAAATCAAGGTGTTGGCCAGACCTCAGCCACATTGAGATGCTGTGGCAGAATCTTTAGACAGCCATGCATATATGAATGACCTCAAACAAAATTTCAGTGAGAGACTAATACATTCCCACTGAAAATGTTCACTTCAAGTTACTGTTACTAAGTGTGGTTCAACATGTTACTGAATTATTTTACTCACCTGGTTTTTGAATGTTGGTTGACTTTTAGGAAACAGATGACTACACATCGAAAATTTTTGTGAATTTTTTTTTTTTTTTTTTGTCACGTGAGGATGTTTTTTTGTTTACAGAAATTGGTGAGGACCATATAATTATTAGCCCCTGATGAATAAAATCAGAAAATTGAAGAAGGGTGTACTTTCTTTTTACCATGACTGTACATTCACATAAGACACACAATACAGTCAGGATGTGAAGTTTTCAGACCCTTTCAAGTTTTCCACATTTTATTACTTCACCAATCAGACCTCTATGGTAGAGTGGCCAGACAGAAGCCATTCCTCACAAAAAGGTACACGATAGCCTGCTGGGAGTTTGCCAAAAGGCACCTGAAGGACTCTTAGACCATAAGGAGCAACATCCTCTGGCCACTATTCCCAGCAGTATGTGTGGAGAAAACCAGGCACTGAGCAGACGTCTTTACTGCTACTCTTGTCTGTACTACGATTTTTCACATCTTCTACATTGTCAAGTCTTTGAATAAATTCTACAACTACTAAAATGCCTCCAAGAGGGAAAAGAGCTAATAAATCCGAAGCGAGCGAAGATGTTGAGGCTGAAGAAGATACTATTTCAGCGGCGCAAGTAGCTGAGATGTTGAATCAGCAGAAGCTG